CGTTTTCCTGTCGGCGCGTCTGCTTCACCGAAACCGAAGCTGCATTGCTTTGCGATTTCTTTTCCGCCGTTTTGCGTTGCTTGTTTGGTTTTAATTCCGACATCTTGGCGCCGAGTAACCACACTCATCGCTTTTCAGATTTGGATTCGTCCGATAGCGCTTTGTTAAATCTCGCTTGTGTCAAAAACCTAAAATTCTAAACGCGTGTTTCAGTCCACATCGTCATATATAAGTGAACAAAGTAACGTGACTATCTATTTTCGTATTTGGACAACAAAATAGACAACTCTTAAAAACAAAAATATTAGGCGTGTTGTATTCCCAATTTTCCAGTTTGTACTTTCGAACAAATATAAATATTACTTGGGATAATATAGGATTTACAAATTTATCCCGGGGGGAAAGATGATCCGAACCTGCGAACCCCACGCAGAGTAATCATAAGTGCGGCGGCGAGCGCATTCCAAACGCTTAGCACGATGCTCCACACCGTCGAGCCGGTCAGCACTGTACGTCAGTATCGAAGCACTTTCGAACAGATAAAAATATTACTTGCTTCAACATTTATGCTTCTATTGAAAGCAGAAAGAGTTTCACATTTGAAGAAACAAATATTGTTAAACTTTAAAACTTTAAATGTCTTACGTGGTAAGTGTACATGGAAATGCTGTGTAATTGTACATTTTTTACATAAGATTGTCACGTTATTAAAAAAGCGCCGATTGCTTTCATAAAGCCTAGGAAGAAATGATGCTTCATTCGCTTTCTTCGGCAAAACGTGATATGTTACTGAAAACGTGCAATTTTAAATCGTTGATTTGATTTTGAGTACGTCGCAACGCAACTCATATGTTTTTGCTTTTCAATAAGTTTGATATTTGATGGTCTGATGATTTTACAAAGTCGTTTCAGGACGGATGATTTATTAGTGACAAAACTTAATACCCCGGTACTGTTTGAGGACCATTCATATTAAATTACTATCCGAAATGCATTTATCATCAGGTTCATTTTTAAGGATGTTATTTCGGAATAAAATTATGACCTAACCCTAACCTGGTACATATACTACGGGTGTATCAGTTTTTATTCCCAACAAAAAAAATATTAGGTCGCACATTTTCATCCGTATGCCGAAAACTGTATATGATAAATTGCAATTCCACCGCCCTATTTTATTCACGCAGTCAAATACGGCAAACAAGCAAAAAGGCTTTCAATAAAATAAGACCAGGTTCATATTTACCCAGTTTTATTTTCATGCTTCGTGTCCGTTTTAATATTTTGTTGCCTGTTTGCGGAGTCATTTTATCTCAGGGGTGGGCAAGGTTTTGAGTTTTAGTTTGGTTGTGACAGCATCAGGCGGGCCAGATTAAATTACCCGAAAGGGCCAAATTTGGCCCGCGGGCAGTAGTTCACCCATGTAAGTTTTATCTGATGTTACCTGTTCGCCAAGGTAAAAACGTTGGGAACCATTGGTATATATGAATTCAGGATATGGTGTTGTACTTACTGGCCTAGGACACAGATGTGCGACATGCACCCCAGCAAGTATAACAGCAGTTTAGGACGTTATAGTAGGACAACAGACATAAAATATACAAATAAAACTCTATTACGATACACAAGACAAAGAGGTACTGCAAAACGACGATATGTACAATAGTCTGTTTATGGGACGCTTATGGCCCAGGTTCCGCTCGTGAATTCAAATACGGTAATAATGAATTGTTTTACTCGTGCCTCTCGCTTCGAACAAATCCTTGAACAAGCAGTAATTGATAACGATATTAAAGAGCTGCTGTTCATTTAGAAGATTCTTTCCGGTGCGGCATCTTTACCAGTAATGTAATTAATCGTTTAATCACAAAGTTTGTTCCTAAATGTTTCGGATAATTGTATTTTGTAAGTATCGTGTCCGGAAAATTCGCCCAGGAAATTTCGACGCCTGAACTTCTCTAGTCGGCGGGCCAGATGTGGAAAAATGAAGTCCTCGGCGGTCCGGATTATTACAAAAAATACTTCGTTATCCAATCTTTATTAAATGCTCAACACTATCAGTCAATACTAGGTGAACTTGGATATTGTGTATTGAACTGCAGGTCCTTTCTCCTTGATTACTTTCTACTTCGGATCCGTATGTGGCACTCACCACAAGGATGCTTGAACGAGATAAATTAAAAATGCCAAGCACAGTACATTGGAGAAACCGGAAGAAAATTAAAGTCTCGTGCGGCAGACCACCTTAGGGACATTCGAAAAGGGACCCCAACACCAGTTGCCAACCATTTCAACAGGAAAGAGCCCAATGGTCGGTTACGGCCTCCGCCATCAAATCCATACATCTGAAAAAATAATAATAACTTGCAAACTAATCCCATACCCGACATGAACTGGTAACCGGACGAGAGGCCGTGGTTCGCTACATGATTAATAGGAAAATTCCTATTCTATATTCAACATATGAATTTAATTTGCAAGTGGCTATATTAATAGATGGATATTAAATTAGTCGGTGCTCCGGAAGTATATGCATCAAGATGACGCACAAACTGTGAACCCTAACCTGGAACACATACTATGTCCAGGCTGTGCGTCATCTTGGTACGAATACTTTGGGAATCTCTGAAATCGACATGAAATACGTGTTATTAAAACAAAATCAATTCGGATCGGGTCCAACGAATATTTCAAATCGTCGACATCTTGTTTTTTTTGTCCGTCAAAGATCGAGGTTTTTTTCATTGAAGCTATATTTTAGAATATTATTCTGACATATGTTCTGTTTACTTATTGGCAGAACATGTTTCTTATTGTGTGTGAACGCATTGTCTGAGTGATGAATTCTATGTTTTCAGTAGTTTATTGTTCTGAAGCAGTGGTTCTTAAACTGGGGGGCGCGAGATGCTCACAGGGGGGAGGGGTTGCGCGAGAGGTAATGAGATGGAATTGTAGATTTACATGTAACGGCTTCTGAAACGGTCTCCGCGTTCGTTAAAAATACCGGCTTTTTCGTTGTATAATAAATTTTTCTGTCTCGTAATAACTACAAGAATTCAAAATGTCTCTCTATTTTAATTCATTTGTGTTCAGGGTAACTCGCGGTTGCGGCGACTCATGTCAAAATAAACTCATTACCGATCTAAAATACCACGCCAATCCGCGGACATATTAAAGTGTGATCAACTGCCCGATTTTATTTAGTTTTGATATATATTGCACTCATGCGAATTCGTTGTCTTCATTAGAAAGATCTGGTATAATATTCCAGAAAGTATACTTAATTTAGTACAATTAAAATACATATTCATCGACTCGGAATCGCCGCGGTACGAATCCTGAGTCAATCCTCGAGATTACGCTAGTCGTTATAAGAGCCGACTTGTCAACGGATATGTAATGGTTTTCGTGTTGTATAAAATATCCAATCCATGGCCGATATACTCATTTAAATGGCTGCTTTATTCATTTAATTGTGATAAATTAAATCTGCGATTGCGTCGAGAAAATAAAAGCACCACTACTCCAAGATACCACGGTAATCCGCAACCATAAAAATGTGTGGCAAAGTGCCCGATTACATTTTGTTTTGATTTGTATTCTTTCCAATTTCATCATTATGAGCTGTCCCTGCAACCCCTATTCCGCTCTATCGCAATGCTCGATTAATTTCAACACCGTTACAAAAATTCCTCAGTCTGCGATAAAATCCCACGGATTAAAATTTGTTTCAAGTCGGGAGTTTTAGAACACTATTGGTGTGCCACAGGCACAAGGAATTTTTAACATTTGCAATGTCTAAGAAAGTGTTTTCAATCTGTCGCGGTCCACCCCAAAACAAAACAAATGGTGTTTTACGTTTTATTTTTAGTATTTTATAATCTCGCTTTTACAATAAAGAAATATTTGGTTGCAGATTCACTACTTTATTCTATCTTTAGCATCTCGTCGCTGATGATTATGTAATAAAAGCTAACTCGTTTTCCTCAGAAGTGTCATGGTTCTATTCGAAAACAAAAAAAGTATATTCGTCTTTGCGACACAAGAATATGTCGAGGGAAATTTCTGATTTAGGTAGAATAAACAGCGAAATCAAGATTTTTACGGCTCAAATAGCACGCCACGCTTACGAAAACAATCGAGATTTAAACAAAATGCAATCGCAAACGCCTTGGCGACTTTATTTTTCAGCGGTCAAGGGCCGGGGAAACGTCCACATGCATAATAACTATTAAAAATGAACTGCTTTTAAGTTTACATAAATTCATTTGTACTTCTCCATTTTGTTTGAAACGTTAGGCAAGCCAAGAAGTCTGTAATTGTTGCTTATTTTTAACACACAGTAAATAATTTTGGCATCGCTCAATAGTGATGAAGTAAACAATTGATTGAAATTTTACGTGTCTTATGTAAACGTTTAAGCAGAAAATACATTAAAGCATGGGTTCATTGCGTGTTTAGTTTTACTTAAAAATTAGTTTGTCTTTACCAGGTATTACAAACTGAGGGGAAATACGAGAATGTATGATGGCCAACCATTATTTGGCTTTATACATACGACAGTGAATGGCGAAGTTGTACTCCGAAGCGTTTTATGCCTAAACAATCTGAGCAATGATGCTACGAGACCAACACTCTTATAGCGCCATCTGAATATATAGCAACCAGCCCATCACAAAAGTATTTTTTCAAAGCAAAAATTGGGGGGGGGGGGCGCGAAGTTTGTAAATTTTTTCAAAGGGGGGCGCGGCTCAAAAATTTTAAGAACCATTGTTCTGGAGTAACCGTTACAATAAATAAGTGACATGTAACTTAATATCTTTCAAGTATTCGAGATTCGATTTAAAAAAGTTATTCAATTCGATTCTGAAATCACCAGATATTCAAAAATGCCAACAGAAACCCAGACTACACCACGAATTCCTCTTCATATGCTTACACTAACTATTCGCCCACAATATATCTCGCCTATCTCAGAACAGTGGCACAAATGTAGCAAAGTGGGTAAATGTGACACCACATCTTTGAGACACCTCATATATTGTCATAAAAAGTTCCATTGAAACAAAATGCACTTAGGAATTCCTTACTATATCTTCCATTAAAGATAATAACAATATATCATCTGGTAGTTTCATCTCTAAAAGAATTAAAACACTTTGTACAATTTGTACAAAATAAAATCACCACGTTTGACACCTTTTGTACTTTTACAAAAAGGAAATACAGAAAAAAACAAGAGATCAATGCTGAAATATATGAACACGAAGATTTGCGCATCGGTACCGGTACGGTAATGTCTTAGAGCAGAGATTCCCAAACTTTTACGTTCGCTACCCTTTCAATATATTACAGTTTTCTGTGACCCCTGTTAGGTCAGCTTCTCTAATATAGTGTACACTCTCTAAAGAGTGAGATTTATGTTTTGCACTAGTTTCAATATTTGCGTCTCGAATCAGAAGTCTACAAAAGTACAATAGATATTGTGTAAAATTGGTGTCCAACAAACAACCAAGCCAAAATATATATAAGCTATATATCTCTTGAAATCGTGAGATTTAGGTTTTACATTAATTTTAATAATGAATTGTGTTTCAAATCAAAAGTCTAAAAAAGTAGAATAGACTTTGTATAAAATTGATGTACTCCTTGCGACTGATCAAATTTTATTGCGCGCCCCCCTGCGGGGTCGTGATTACCAGTTTGGGGGACCCTGTCTTGATGCGCAGAGTTTGTTGAAAATATTACTGGAATATCGTGAGGAAATAAAGTGTTTCCATACGTCATAAAGAGTGTTTCCATTAAATAAAATATAACCGCAAAAATTTTGGTGAAAAAGAACAATACTTCAATATATTAGCACAAAAGTCTTGCAGCGGTACCGATGGAGCCTGGGCTGGAATCACCTGGTTATCTGAAAACATCTGCGGACAATGAGACTAAATAAAGTCGTAACAATATTTCCAAGAAGTGATATAAAACAGAAAAATTTTGGGTAAAATGCAGAGTTCTGTAGTACTCGGAGAAAATTTGCAAAAATAAAAAATTTGAGAAAGCTCATTTCATAAACAAATAATGAAAATTTGAAATAAAATATCCATTGGTTGGATAGAAAAGCGATTTGTCCAACAATAACACTTCAGCAAAAAGGTCCATATGTACAATTTATATCCAATAAAATACTTTGATACAATGTGAACATGTTGACGAAAGAATATTAGTTTTATACACAATCGGATCGTTGGCTGCTGGGGAGAATATTTAGGGCAGGGTTTCCCAACCGACGGGAAGGGGGATTCCCCCTGAATAAAAAATATTTCACTTTTTTATGTGTTGCAATACTAATTTTATTACTATTATCCTTGCGATGCGTATTTATCCGCAAGTTCAAACTGTACAAAAACCAGAGTGGGAAATACACTTATCGCTGGCAAATAATTGTAAAACAGTTTTCCACATACCGAGGGAGGAACTAAGAGTTCCAAAATAGGCAAAGGAGGCAATGTAGAAATGTCCAGATTTCAACTGTAAGAAAATGGAATTTTGATAACATAAACTGGACTGAAGCGTATACAAGCCAAATAGTAACAAAAACTTAGGTGCACACCAGTCTCTTTATTGAATTTACAGAGATTGCGACTACAACTTCAGATTTTACCTGTGAGAAAATGGAATTTTGATAACAGAAACCTTGGCACATGCGAGCCCTTCTCAAGTACATTATGAAAATTTGATGTTTCTTGAGTTTCTGGGGATTTTGACTTTGAGTATTGCATGGATGTTAAAATTTCAACTTCTAATTTCGGAGAATTTCAAAATTCGATTCCAGTTCCGACAATGCTTGGAAATGTGATACTGACTGCGATATCAATAAAAACATGGCAAACTTTGACCCCCCAGCCTCGATCGAGGCGGAAAAAATATAGAAAATACTTTATAACGTAGTAAAGAAGCACCCGGATCCGGACTTCCATTCTTTGACTCCGCCCACACCCGCTTCACATATTATTAACGGCTCTGTGCGCCGCCCAATAGTTATCAAACCCAACTTTGTCGCGGTAAACGTTTTTATTCTTTCCGACTTGCCGACGAGCGTGTTCTTTCAGAGTGCTGAGGTCTACATTGTACCCAACTTCTGAGAGATCTCTCACCGGAGGGCGCTTGTATGTTGAGTACGGAACGTGGTGGAGATTGTTGTTGTTGTAGGTGAATGAGTGATCGTCATCGCTTGATGAGCTGAAAAGTAAAATCAAATTAGCGTTTCCAGATTTTTAATTTTATCAACGACTCTTTTTCGACAAAGAACAAACAAAGCTCTATACACACGACTACTGCTATGAGGACGATGTGTGAAAAGCCACAATTATTTGTAAAGACAGGAATCTTGTTGCCTAGGTAAGTTGAGGGAAAGTCATTTAAATCCCAGATGTGTGATAAACATGATGGGTGAAAAACTCGGGTTTAAATCCTTTGTTTCCCATCTCAGTCGGGGTATAATAAATCTGGTAAACAATAAAAGGTACTCCCGTAGTATGTGAACCAAGATGGCGGACACGGGAATATAGTATGTGTACCAGGTTAGGGTTACGCCATAATTTTATTCTAATTTTTCCTATTTTAATTCTATTATAAGTTCGTGGACTAACCAAGTGACTCTCGTAGTATTTCTATCTGAAATTATGGCCTAACCCTAACCTGGTAAACATACTACGTTCCGGTGTCCGCGATCTTAGTTCACATACTTCAGTAGTACCCGGTAAAGAACTGAGAAGATTGCAGTCTTTCAAAAAATAGTAGCTTCTCACACACCAGTGGAGGCTTTCATAGGGCCTTATTCAGAGCAAAACCGTGGAAATACGTGAAAAGCTAACTTACGTTGTACTTCTGTTCCCGTAATTTCTCATGAACTGTGGCGAGCCGGGATTCGAACCTGTGTCTCTTGAGTTTGTACCAAGATTGAGATACTTGTCCCGGAGAGATGGCTCAACATAGCTTTTCGAATAACTGAGTGACGACCTGGATAATTGTAGTTAAAAAATAAAGCATATTCAACCAGTGTTTCTCAAAGTGACGATTCGGTACGACAATTGAACCTTAGAAGATATTTGAAAAGAAGTCGTTGGGTCTGCAGCAGTTTCATAGACACGTCATTAATTACAAATTGAAAAGAGTGGAGCTTTACGGTTGAGGTGGAACCGATTCGGAAGTTCGGCTTGACAAGAGCGCAGTCAGCCCAGGATTTTTTAAAGAATCGCTCTACAAACATACGTTGATGTCGAATTTATCCAAGCGTGCGTTTTCATCTATTTGGTGGAAGGATTATCGATAACAAGCCAGGAAACGTTCGGTTTCTAGTAAATCGTTCAAAAATAAAGCAAAATGGTATGGGGAAAGGCGTATGAAGGCCCACCCCGGCTACGCCTATGACAAGCTGATAAATATACACACAGACTCGTTTGCTCATTTACACTTGTACCGTATTATTTATATCAATAAAAATCATTTCTACGATTTTCAAAAATTTTATCAAGGTTTAATGGGCCTATGTTCATTTTGGCGCTGATAATAGGTCACAAGCGAATAAATGTCGAAAACCATTAGAGTAAGTCTTCAGGAGCCTGCTCCACGAGTGTAGTTACATAGTTATGTTCAAAATCTTTCCAGTTTTCAACCATCAAGCCTCAACACTTTGCTTGAAGCTTTTTTTCACGTTCTATCCGCAAAGTGGCGCTAAAGAGACATTCGCAAGCTTCTTCTAACCTGAGATGGCCGAAAATTCGCAAAAATAAAATATGCTGCTTTTTTGAAAAAAATGTGAGTTGGAGTCAAGTTTAAAGCAAAAAATATTGAATAGCGAAGTTCCAATAAGAAGTCAAATATTACGAACTTGGGGTCAAAACCTTGTGACCAAAATCAAATTGAATTTTTTTGTGACTTCATGCACAACTGCTTACCTTAGCTCATTAATTTCCTCATTGTGAATTCTCAGCTCTTGTATGAGTTCTTCAGTCTTTCTCGTGAACGCATCAAGAGTTCTCATGTTATGCTGAGGCCTGTGTGAAAAAGTTACTTGAGTTATGTAGAATTCACTTGCTTCAAGTCCTGCAGCTTACGGTATTTATTATCGTAAGTTCCCACACTTTAATTTCTGGTAGTTTCACAAGCTCTTGGCATTTGAACTGATTGCATGTAACTTCGCTCGGGGCTTGGCTCCAATAACTCTCAACATAGGTCCAAAGCCATAACTATAATTCCGTCTCAAATTTAGAAGTCTTCTATCAGTACTCTTTTCACTTTTAGTTGGGAACTTGGGTGCATGCTTTGGGCAAACTTACAACTCGTCTATCAGTACTTATTTCACTTTTAGTTGGGAACTTGGGTGCATGCTTTGGGCAAACTTACAACTCGTCTATCAGTACTTATTTCACTTTTAGTTGGGAACTTGGGTGCATGCTTTGGGCAAACTTACAACTCGTCTATCAGTACTTATTTCACTTTTAGTTGGGAACTTGGGTGCATGCTTTGGGCAAACTTACAACTCGTCTATCAGTACTTATTTCACTTTTAGTTGGGAACTTGGGTGCATGCTTTGGGCAAACTTACAACTCGTCTATCAGTACTTATTTCACTTTTAGTTGGGAACTTGGGTGCATGCTTTGGGCAAACTTACAACTCTTCTATCAGTACTTATTTCACTTTTAGTTGGGAACTTGGGTGCATGCTTTGGGCAAACTTACAACTCTTCTATCAGTACTTATTTCACTTTTAGTTGGGAACTTGGGTGCATGCTTTGGGCAAACTTACAACTCTTCTATCAGTACTTATTTCACTTTTAGTTGGGAACTTGGGTGCATGCTTTGGGCAAACTTACAACTCTTCTATCAGTACTTATTTCACTTTTAGTTGGGAACTTGGGACCTTGCTTTGAGAAAACTCTCTTTTCACTTCACTCATTACACACTTGTAGAGGCGGGGGACATGGGTTTTGATGCCAAGGTCTTTTAATCACAAATTTAACACAGTTAGGTGTTGACAACAACTAAGCGATTTCTATATATGTTAATTTGTACCTTCGGGAAATATCCATCGTCGAAACGCTGGACTGCATTCTAGGAACCCTGTCTAGTGTAGATGGGATCCGTGTTGATAGATCCATTGTAGACAAACTCTTTGGCTGCCTGTCCAGGTGGGAGAGCAGAGGGTTCATTCGATGTGGTCGTACTGTTTCAAGATTTGCAAGTAAAGGGTTAATCCGTGGTGATCGCTCAGAAGTTGGCGTTGATGTTGTCGATACCAAACTGGAACTGTATGGAGAGACTGGCGGAGTAAAGTCACTGTCCGAGATATCTGAAAATATATATGTATATATATTTATATAAACAGAGCGTCAAAAAAATTTCATCCCAGCCCACAGCAAAAACAATTATAAACTATGCCTAATTTACAATAATATTAATTGTAAGTTTAAATAAAATTTATTGTGTGAGTGATGAATGAGAACTACAAGCACAATAAGAACTATTGATAAACAAAGACGAACAAGTATTCAATTGTTACCACTACAAAATCGGACAAAATATCTTGGACACCCTGTATATATAATGGAGAGTGTGAAATACAGAATTCAGTTCATTTTGAACATGTTTTAGAGAGGGCATAACTTTTGTACAAAACGTCCTAAATTACGGGAACTTTTGGCCACAATCATACAAACAGAAATTCAAGTGTTAAAAATTTGTCTTCATTTTCATAGGTCTGTTTTTAGGCCACCCTGTATATTCAAGGTTAAAAGCATAGTGACCCATTCATGCCACACTTTTGCCACTTGTTCCACACTTATTTCACTTGAACCACACTTGCCCCGCATATACCGCTTTTATTCCACACCTGTCCCAATTGTACCATACTTGTCCAAATCGTATCCTATTTGTGCCACGCTCGTACCAACCACACTTGTACGACAATCGTCTCATTTGCAACAGACTTGAATTGTTCTACACTTGTCCATCTTGTACCACACTTGTCTCATTTGTACCTCACTTGTCTCATTTGTACTACATCTTCCACCCCACTTTCTCCCACTTGTTGCGCACCTGTCTCATTTGTACCACACTTTCCCAATTGTGTCACACTTAACCCATTGTGCAAGACTTTTTGCATTTGTGCCACACTTGTCTCTATAGTTGCGGACCTGTCTTATTTACACCACACCTGTTTCCAATTGTACCACACTTGTCCCACCTATATCCTATTTGTGCCACGCTTGTCCCAGTAAGAACACACTTGTATCGCTTTTATTGCGTTTGTTCTACACTTGTTACACTTGCACCAACCACACTTGTACCACACATAACCCACTTGTACCACACTTGCACAGTTAATCCAAATGCAACAGAGCTGTCTCATTTGTTCACCAAGAGTATGGGTTCCGGGCAGGGTGAGACATGTATGACGCGATTTTCTGAAAGACCGGAACCATGCTGGTTAAGTTTTGCCTACATAATATTGTTTAATGTCGTATGTCTGAAAAAAATACATCGCTTTGCTCAGCGGAGCTAGATTCGTCTTTCAGAATTTTTAACCTTTTCTAGTTGAGGGCATGGGATCTTGCTTTGAACAAACTTGCAACTCTTGTATCAGCACTATCTCGGGACCTCGCCCTGGGCAATCTTGCAACCCTTCTATTACTACCCTTTCTACTATTAGTTAAGGGCTCGGGACCTGGCTAAGAGCAAACATGAGATTCTTCCACTCTTTCCACCATAATTTGGTTCTCGTGACCTTGATATGAACAAACTTACAACTCTTCTATTGGTAATCACTTTGTAACTTTGTATAAATAGAAGAAAAATTATCTCACGAGTTGTAACTCACCGTAGTTAGATTTGTCAATGATTTCAGTGAAATTCAATTCGCCATGCAAATGTCTTGAGGAGGGGGAAACACAATGATGCCGAAAAAATTCATCCGTTTCTTTGTCAACGACGAGAAGTTCGATCAGTCTGTCTGGTGAGGTTCGGATCAGATTAATGACAGAAGTGTGAGATTCCTGAATGTAGATAGGTATTAGTTTGGATCAGTGTTCTCAAACGGTGGGACGCGCACCACAAATTGGGGCATAGAGAATTTTTTGAGGGGACGTGAATCTAATTAAAATTAAAAAAAAATGATCAAATATGATGTTGCCTGCCTTAGTTTGGATGTTTACATTTCTTTATTGTTTACATTTTTTTATTATGCACACATATTTTCAAAGTGTTTTTTGAATAAAACATACTTCAGCCTTGCTATATATTATTTGAAGCTTATTGTTGGCTAAATATTTCTGAGGTAAGCGCAAAACTTGAGAGACAAATTCTGGAAAAAGGGCGCGGGTTGAAAAGTTTGAGAGTTGTTATTTCTTATACGGTTATCGCAGCTCGATAACATGTATTGGTTTTCGCGTCTCCCTTCACCCCAAAATGCGAGTTTGTGTTCGAAAAAAGTAAATTGCTGATGACTAGTTGCAATATAACTTTTTAAATCCAGAAACGCTTGTCAAGTAACGAGTGATCCTAGTCAAGTCCTACCACAGACTTCCACACTTTTAATAATATAAAGCCATAAAATGAAGAGGGCTGGTTCGGGACATTTGTGAGAAACGCTCTGGAATTTTATTTTTTCTGTCGTTTTTAACAAGTGTCAGGAATCAGGATCACTCGGGGACTAGGTCGGCTTAAATTATTGCGAAGCTTAATGTTCATAAAGATTTTAAATTAACGATTTGCACTTTGAATTACCATCTCTGGTCTCATTCAGACAAATAGTCATAACATAAAAATTGCAGCAAAACTTTTGAAGTGTGCAGCAAGCAAGATTCTTTTTTGGTCCGGTCTGGGAATTTTCTTTAAAGTTTGGGGAGCGTTAGAGAAACCCTTTCCTACCTTTTCAACATTGACTTTGTTAATTTCAACGATTCTATCACCAGCCCTGAGTCCGGCTTCGTAGGCTCTCCCTCCTTTATCTGCGCTGTCGACAAAGTGTCCTGAGAGCAAAAATAAAGGTGGTATGAAACATTGCGGCCTCACGGGGAAAATAAAATTGGGGTCAAGCAAACCAGTGCTGCGGCAGTGACAGATTTTCACTCTAGTCATAGTCGAATTTCTGAATTTGTGCAAAATAGTGTGTCGCGATATAAAAAAAAATGGAAACCACTGCTCTGGATGCTCTAGTATTTCTGTGTCGATATTACATGAAATAAATACGTTATTTTATTGTCATGCAAGTTTTTCAATCATATACATAATCCTGAAAAATCCCGGGATTATACGGCTCAATACCGGGATTTCAAAAACTGGCTCCGAAATCCCAACCCTGGTACTATGTGCTGTCAAACTCCTCCGTTATGACGTTAGCCGCCGTTATAAGGACTTAACATACATCCAGCTGTTCAGGGCTTAAATTGGGCAGAGGATCGCTCACCAAGTTTGGTTGTTATGCGAATACCGGCACTTCGAATCAATAAGAGTTAAAAAATCATAAAATTAATGGACATGCCGTCAATACTTATACTGTATCTTTCAATTTGCTTATAATATATTTATATTGGAATATTTTTGGGGGACGGCAGCAAGGTTGCCGCGGACCGGCGGTTGAGAACCACTGAACTAGATGGAGTAAAAATTGATTACAACTCAGAGTCGGATGTTAATATTCATCGACCCACAGCCAGGGGCCCCCAGTGGGAGTCAGGGAGGTGCCACAGGGTTCTTAGGCGCAGTCGCCCTAGGCAACATGCTATAGGGTTGACCTTGTGGCTTAGTTTGATAATCTGATAAATAATAATACAAACATTTCGCTCTTACTTGAACTTTTTATTTATCCATTCTAACAACATCCAAAATTTGTTTACCCCCAAAATTCTTAGTTAAATATAAGAGGCATCATTGTCAGAAACTCGCCCCGGGCAGCAAGAACGTTTAGCACATCCCTGCCCACAGTACCAAAAGGGAAATATACGGTTGCATAAAAAAACGAATCCTGAATTCGACCTACCGGTTACACCTTTCAGGGTCTGTCTGTATTTTCCTGCACAAACTCTGGGAGATTTTCCGACTGTTTTCACCACAAAGTCGTATCCCTGTAACAGGAAAGGAGGTTTGATTTAAATAGTTGTAGATTGTTTCTATAAAAATGACTTTGGTTGAAAGAAGCGTTACAGAAAACAAAACAAGTTGCGACCTGACTTATTCACAGCACTAAGAAGCCATTGATATAGCCTTGTCAACGTTTTGAATGTTTATACAAGCAAACTTTATCAAGGCAGTAATAAGGAGGCAAAAATCACTCTATTTATACAAACATATAGAACCTTTTTTAAATTTATTCGCACTGTGTGAATTGAATTGGTATAAACTACTCCTTAGGCTTAAGCAGATGAAGTAAGATTTTTGTCAATGAAACGTTACGAGATAAATCTGTGGCAATGTGAGTCGAGACAGCAAGGGGTCGGTCCCAGGCTAATCCAGTGTTTCCCAAACTAGTTTGGCCGCAAACCCCTGTTTGTCAATCTTTAACCTTTTATGATCATAGATCAGAGCTCCATAGCCCTCAACCAAAAGTAGAGGAACGACCAATTACACACTGAGAGCCTTATATGAGTTTATCCATACAATGTAGATATCGGTAAAAAGTGATTTAGAGGATACTGCCAGACTAACATGCTCCCCGACCCCGACTTGAAAATGTGTTCACCCCCCATAAGGGGGTGTAAGGAAATCGCTTACTTAGACCAATTCAAGTCAACACTGCCGGTAAAGTCTTACCGTCGCTCCTCTCTTAATTCGTACGAGTTTCGGTCTGAGTGTATCACTTGATCTTGACTCGAGTGGCTTTACTGTCATTCCGTTATCTGGCTTAAGAAAATACTCGCTCGCTTCTTGACAAAATTTCACCACAAGGCGAACGCTTTTTAGACCTGCAATGGATAGGATTCAGAAATTTATTCAGAAGGAGAGAAGAGCCTATAAGACCACTCATTCATATGGCGAATCATAGCTTCTCGTTCGTTCACCAGTCCATGCCGGGTATGTGATCAGTTAGGCAGTCTAGATGCATAGACTTGATGGTGGGAGAAGCCTTAACCGACCAGTAGTTACATGAACTACCTCACAGTGGTGAGGAGTCCTGCAATCCTGTCGCACATATTTGTCCACCGGGAGTTTCGAACCAGCAAACTCACGCAGAGCAATCAGAGGTGCGCTTAGCTTGATGTGTCGGAAATCGGAATACGGATAGGGTTATATTCGGCTAGAACTGTGAAGCTTTTTTAGGAACCATGGCTCATTTAAATAGACTCTACACTCTGTCCCCCTTGTTCTTTTATAGTTATTGCAGTCAAAGAATTGAAATTTGCTTCAAATTAATATAGTCATCGTAACGATGATGCCCACGTTTTCTTACCTTGCAGTAATTTGACGACGTTTGTATGGCACTCATTCTCGACGTTGATTTCATTTATCTGTGAGAAAAATAGGGGACTTATGCGTTGTCTTGCTAAATTGTTTTTGTTGATGATGGCATGATATTGTTTTTCTTTACGACCAGACCTTGGCTTGGGGGCAAAGTCTTTTTGCAAAGGGACGCATTATTGTGATATCACAGTAATTACTATTTTCGTTCAGTATGATAGTGTTGCATTATTTAATTTAACACTTCATGAGATAGTTACTGTTACATCATTGGTTTTTAACCTCTTTGGCGGAGCAAAACCCCAAATGAAACATTTCAGAATTCATGGGAAATAGGCATTAATTGCCTGAATTGTAGGAACTACCATAAATCATTTTGCATATGTTGTTCCTAAATCCCACATGACTATGCCATCCAAAAATTAGGGAACGTCCACTGATTGTGATTTCAAATTATCTGGAGCTGTACAAGTTATGAACAGAATAAAAGGTTGCACGTCATACATACCTCGATTATTTTATCTCCTGGGCGCAGGTGGGCCTTTGAAGCCGGCGAATCGTCCAAAACATGCAGAACATAAGTATCCGTTGTATCGTTCTCACAGCAGAGGACAAAACCGAACCCGTTTGCTCCTGAAATTAAAATGAATTTACAGTTAAACTCAGAGCTGCGGAGCCGGGGTCGTATAAACTACACGGAGTCGGAGTGGTATTTTAAACTATCCGGAGTCGAAGTCGTGTTTTTAAACTCTCCGGAGTCGGTGTCGTATTTTAAACTCTCCGGAGTCGGAGTCGCGTTTTTCAACTCTGGGGGGTCGGAGTCGTATTTCAAACTCTCCGGAGCCGGAGTCGCGTTTTTAAACTCTGGGGAGTCGGAGTCGTATTCCAAACTCCCCGGAGTCGGAGTCGCGTTTTTACACTCCCCGTAGTCGGAGTCGTATTTCGAACTCTCCGGAGCCGGAGTCGTGTTTTTATACTTTCCGGAGCCGGTGTCGTGTGTTTAAACTCCCCGGAGTCGGAGTCGTCCGTTTAAACTCTTAGGAGCTGCAGGCGTATTTCTAAACTCCCCGAAGCCGGAGTCGTTTGTTTAAATTCACCGGAGCTGCAATGTGCTACACTTTGAAATTTTTAGTTTGTGTTTCGTCACTATTACATTATCGTTCATTGTGTTGTGATCACTGATTATCGTTAAGCAACAATGGACAGTGTTTGTGTCACTGCATTAGCTACGAGGTGTTACGAGTATTAGACGCTTGACCCCTGATAAATCTCCCCATTCTTCATCATTGCAAAAATTTTGAGATCTTGAGAGTGTTTCGCGGAGTTGGAGCTTACAAACTGACTCACCTGTTGAAAACTATCATTTTTATTCAACACAATAAACCACATGCCGCTTATAGGTACTGATAGCTAATACTAGGCCAGTCTATCGCAGCGTTTGCGGTATCAATTTTTGATTATTTCAACTTGACTAAAGGCACTCGGAAGACATAAAGACAATCAATTTATTTCATTTACAACTATTTGTTGGAAACACAACTAAAAACTGGCAAGTAACCGTCAAAACTACCAATAAAACAATGTTTACAACCACGCTTGAATATCTGCCTGAACGAAAGAAGGAGTGAGCGGCAACATGTATTCCAATTGTTACGTCATTGTTAATTTATTGCTGATTAGTAGTTGTTACGGAAATAAACAAGGAAATTGATATACCCGGGGAAACATCCATTGAGATTGGCTACACTTAGCGACTCAATATGATTATGTTGCATGTTTTTGTGTTTAGATTAAGCTGTGTTTTTAGTTTCCTAAAGCCATAATTTTGGTTATCATAAATAAACACAACAATTGCCGAGCTGAAAAATTTATAACAAAAGCAAAACAATGACAGTAAAATTAAACTGAAATCCCAAGTTTTCGAACAGTATACGAATTGATAAAATCTGATGCGCTACCACGGAAATATGCGGTAATGATATCAGATGTCAATTTAATCTGAGAGAAGAAATTCGCACTTTTTGATGAAAAATTCAGAAAATTAAACTAGATTTGGGGTAACTTAATATATTTTATCACATTAAATTTGAAGGGTTTTAATTCGGCCCATATTTGACCGATGGTAAACTGAAAATATAACTTTTAAAAACTATGAATTATGTGAAATTACTGGCTTAAATTTACGATATTTTTTTTAAGTACGTGAGTAAAATTTGAAGGAATTTAAAGCATCACTAATGCGATATTTCTCCCACGCGAAAAATCTAAATTAAGACATTATTTGGACAAATAAACTGTCAAATAAGTAAAAGAACTCAACCTTAAAGCGATTAATGAATTAATTTTCGTTTTCGGAGCTAAAAATGCGCAAAATAAGATTTATTTTATTTGACATTATTTGGTACTCCCAAAGTATGTGAACCAAGATGGCGGACACCGAAACGTAGTAGTCTATGTGTACCAGGTAAGGGTTAGGCCATAATATTATTCCAATTTTCCCTATTACCCTACGAGTTCAGGGACTCTCTGTGTTAGCCAAGTAAATATACCCTGCACATAGGTTTTAGTCTCTTTACACAACTTGATGTAGAAAAGGCGAACAAAATTAGTTACCTCCTTATTGATACACACACTTCTGGAGAGTACCCACCACCTCACCCAAGAGGAAATAAATTGGGCTGGTACTCAGCGGTTATTGTAAAAAGCCTTGTCTAGAACGAGAGAACTATAATGACGTCATATAAAATAAATTTTTGTTTTGCGCATTTTCTTGCACATACTCCAACATTTATACAGTAATAAATAGAATTGCAAATTAAACGATGACTAAGTGCATACTTAACATCATAAGTACATAATCAGATTTCTTCAATTAAGTTTTAATCTTACTGATTGGATTCAAAATCTCATGGGCACTTTCTTTTTCGTATCCAACTCACAACAAATTGACTCATTCCAGAAAACGATGCCGTGTTTTCAGAAAGCGATTAGATACAAAATTTTAGAACGGGTTCTTTTTTGCATCTTACTCAGTAACAACGGGTTCCCTCATTCTAGAAAACCACGGCGTGTTCCCAAAGAGTTATGTAATTCAATATTGCAGAACGGGTCTCTCTTGTATCGAATACACTAACAACGGGTTCGCACATTTTGGAAAATGCATGTAGGTAGGTCACTACGTTAGTCACATTAAAATGACAAATTTTAACTTTCAAAATGCAAAATATAACGTTAGGTATTCAGCTGATGTACACGTCACCCATTTGTTTCGATCGTCTAACGCAGTGGTTCTCAAACGGTGGGGCGCGCCTCACAAAGTGAGCATTGTATATTTATATTGCTTTATTGTTCAGAGATTACAGAGAGCTGTTGTGCTTGTTGTTATTTTTATTATCTGTCATATCACATTCGCCTTACTATCTATTATTTGTAGTTCATTGTTAGGTAGTTATTTTTAAGGTGTGGCGCGAGATTTGACAAATTCTAAAAAGGGGGCGCAGCTTAAAAATTTCGAAAACCACAAGACTCTGAACGTCCAAAATAAAAACGTTATGTCCTTATTCCTAAATGTATTTAATGTATTTATTCAAAGACAACGGCAATTTAAGATAAGACATTATTGGAAAAAGCAATTATAAAGACCTCTAAATCAGTGCTTCTCAAAATTTTAAGTCGTGCCCCTTATTTGAAATTTGTCAAGTCTCGCGCCTTCCTCAAAAATAACTAACGGTAGCTAACAATAAGCTACAAATAACAGATAGTAAGGCAATAGTATGTTTTATTTTAAAAAATGATAATAGGTGAATGAAACGTAAATATCCAATATTAAAAAAATGTAAATATTCAAAATAAGGCGTGCAAGATAAATCTAACAAATATTTTCATTTTAAAATAGTTTCCCGCCCCCCTTCAAAAAATTGTCCGCGCCCCCTTTTTGAGAACCACTGCTGTACGCGAGGATAAAGTTAGATTTTGTCTGGGTGGAATATTAAACGGAATGAGATTTTCATGATTGCAACTTTTAGTTAGAGGGAAGGATTATATGAGTAATATTTCCTCAGTATAAATTTAAACTATTTTGTCAAAAATGTCCACCGAATTACTGTGCGTCCTTTCTGACTAAGATAGGTGAGATTTTGATCCACCGACAGATAATTGACCACTCGTTACGCAAATGATTGTGATTACGAATTCCTTAGTGACGAATAACTGGCAACAGTCGAATAGCAAACTGGACACAAACAAAATACGATATTTTCTGAAATTAAATCGGCCACGTGATTACTGCCTGGATGAGGTGGCGGAGACGGGTTTTGAACCGAAGATGTGCAACCAGCGATGCCAACACAGTTTAGTCCGATGCTTTAACCCAGGGCAACCTTTAGGTACAGGAGGGCCAGATACACATATCTGGTTTTCCAGTAGTTGCACGCACAAAAATTTGGTTATTGATCTTATCAAGCTTAGGTACAGGCTTTGTAACACAAAGGGAATTACTCGCACGTACTGAATTAAAAACTCGTTTGGCGAGCCGCACACTATTAAGAATTGGCAATCCTCTACAGAACGCACAATTTTACCTGTGGGCCGCATTTGACCCACGGGCCGCAGATTGCGCACCCCTGCTTCAACCGATTGGCCAACGCAATGCATAAAAATTACGAAGGTTAGTCCAGAACGGGAAATATTCAAAACCCTATAAATGCTGCAGCTGACCGGACCTATGGTCCATGTCAAAGATCTTCAAGTTATCAATTTCAGGAGTGGACAAGGTTTTTGGACCAGGGGCCGAATATTTGCCCACCTAGTCTGGCAGGCCATGTAAGTGTGACGTAGAATGTTACATTTTATGAACAATATTTACAGTGTTAAAAAGCAAAGATGGAAAACAATAGCCTATGCCTCGTGCTGAAACTAAATTCAATCACAATCTCAACAACATCCCTTGCGCTATTTTTTAGTTACAACATTAAAATTTGCTTTTAGTTTAGTTGTGGCTGCATCAGGCGGGTCAAAATGAATTAATCAAGCGACCGGATTTGTCCCACAGGCCGTAGTTTGCCCATGTTAGAATTAAATGCTTTTTGAGAAATATTATCGAATTGTTGTGATGGCTCTCGGTCGAATAATTCCATGAAATATTGATGGCAATAAACGTTGTTATTGCGCAGTTATTGAAAATGTCAAATTTGTTTTTATATCATCCGGGTTTCTGTAAGACCGTGCAAGGCTGTTGTGTCAAAGACTTTGTAGCATGTTTTCACTTGGGTGTGAACTGAAGTCGAATTTTCGAACAGCTATCCAAAGTACATAAAATCCTAATCCGACAATTTATGTTCAAAAAGTAGCTCGCTTGGGTAAAAATACATAACGTTTTTTGCTCTTGTCGCTACGTTATATCTTTCGACGTTTTACCTGGCGTCTTTATTACTGTACTGCTATGGCGATAGCCGCATTCTCTACTTTTGGCTTTCCCGCTAACTTTTTTGTGAGGGCCAGCTAGATGTCCGAAGTTGGTAATAAGTCAACCAACAAAAAAGTTGCACACCCCTGGTATAAACCATGAATATATAAAAGAAAACCTAATACTGGCAAAACAAAATGATCGTTCAAGTGTAACAGTTTAATAATAG